ACAAGTGGCCAAGTTGAAGTGTCAAACCAGGAGATCAAAAACATCTTGGCCAAAACCGTGAATGCCCACAGAACCAATTGTTCTCGAAAGCTCGATGACACACTATGGGCCTATCGAATCGCTTACAAAACACCTATTGGGATGTCTCCGTATAAACTAGTTTTTGGTAAATCTTTCCATCTGCCCGTTAAGTTGGAACACAAAGCATTGTGAGCACTGAACGCTTTAAATCTTGACTGGACAAAGACCTCAAGGGGGAGAGTGGGACAGTTAAACGAATTGGATGAATTCCAATTCAGAGCTTATGAAAGTTCATCCCTCTACAAGGAAAAAATTAAGAAGTGACATGATGCTAAAATCCTTAGGAGCGAGTTTAGAGTGGGGGATGGGTGTTACTATACAATTCACGATAGAGACTCTTCGCAGAAAAGCTCAAGTCCAAGTGGTCAGGATCATTTAGAGTGAAAAGAGTATTCACCAATGGTGCCATAGAAGATGAGGGGCAAGATGGAGCTGCATTTATGGTGAATGGGCAACGCTTAAAATTATACTTTGGAGAATGCCAGGAGATTTCTTTAATTGAGGTGGTGTACCTGGAAGATGATTGAGAGCATCTTCACGTCATGCCACGACGTTAAACAAAGGGCTTCTTGGGAGGCAACCCAAGTGTTAGTGTTTTTAATAATGTGTATTGATTTTGCAGGAGTAGGGATCATGAGCAAGACAAAAGTGTTCTTGGTGAGTCATCGAACTATTTCGGCGAGTACGAACACTCAACTATCAGTTCACTCCATGGACAACCGGGAAATTTAGTGAAGCTTCCTTGTGACCCTGCTCTACTTGTTTACACACTAGGTTGTTTTCATCTCTTGTCAATTTTTATTTACTGTTAAAATATTTAGCTTACTTGCAATAAATACCCTCTCTCTACCCAAATTGGGGACAATGTTGACTGTTTTTGTAGGGGTGTGGAGACTGCTCATGTCTCAATGCTTCTCATGTCTCAATGTCCTCAACGTTGACAACACCCTTTGTTTGTATGGAATATAACTTTTCTTGTGCAAATTTAAGTCTCGGTTTTGGATCAATATCGATGATCCAAATAGTGCTCATAATTGAACGAACATGAAAGTGTGGCTACAATGAGACCAAGTGAAGTTACATAGTCATGTGAAATCTTTGCATCTCGTTATGACTAGCCAAGTATCAAATTGATTATCTTGTGATGAACGTTGCACACTAGAGAAAGTGTGGAGTCTTGTTTAACATTGGTATCGATGCGTTGTGTGATGAGATGTCTATGAACCACGCATGATAGCACCTAAAATTTGCCCCGTTGGTCTGATTCACTAACTAAGGCTATCTCTTGATATGATCTTAGGCAACTTCGAAGAGTGTGAGCCAATTTGACATATACCTCTTTTTGGCCTACCTTGTGAGTGCGTGAACCTCTTTTGAACACCTCGTGAGCATTACCTTTCTTTGGACGAAACATGATGAAAACATGACATTTGTTAATCCGCTACTTGTAATCCTCTTGAATTGTGGTTGATTGAATAGGCAACTTAGGCCAAAAGCCTAACTTGGGGGTGTGGTAAAAAAGAAGACAAGTCAAGAAGTGCAAGAAAAGTCCCCTTTAACCCATGGCGTTGAGAAAAATGGAACCCCTCTATACAAAAAAAAAGGGAAAAGAAAAAGAAAAGGAAAAACTTGGGAAATAAAGTTATGAGAAATGTAAAAAGAAAGGGGGTTCCAAACAATCCATGGAAGTGAATAATGGGATGACTTATGAGCACTAAAGAAAATGATGAAAGAAGAGGAAATGGAGTGTTGAAAGCACCACATTTCGTGAGGATGAAAGTCACTGAGCCTAAATGACCATACATTTGCACTCAGCCACATTACAAGCCTTTAAAAGACCTTTTTGATCTTGAGTGAGCTAAAAGAATTGTTGATTGGAAAATACGGGCAAACCTATGGGTGAAAGCATGCATTGTGTTCTTCTTTGTGATAGTGAGTATTACATTTGATTCCGGAACTTTCAATGACTAAACCATTGTGTGTGAATATGGAATCATTCTTTGCGTGAGGGAATTTGAATACCTTTGCTGAGCTCTAACCTGCATTTGAAGTAAGCATAGTGAGCTTGAGAATCTTTGACAATGGTGTGTCACAACTGGAGCCTTTGAGTATACAATGGATCCTTGCATGAGTAAGTTGAGCCTTGTTGTGTACATTCATGATTGAGTTTTGTGTAGCACTGTTTGAGACATCTTTTTTGAACTGCTAAACTTGAGTTTTGCTCGAAGACAAGAAAAAGTTTAACTTATGGGTGTTGATGAGTCTACAATTTGGACTCATTTAACGTTATATTTTAATAGAATTAGTGTCCTAAAATGCATATTTTGTCTCAATAACTGATGTAAACCCTTGAGTTTCAGGTATTTGGAGTTAGAGAAAAAGCATGGACATTATTGAGCAAAAAGGAACAAAGAAAGCCTTAGGAATGAATAAAAGAAGGACTGATGATTTATGATGTCGTTCAACGAATCACCAATATCATTTAGCGAGATGCCGAATTGCCAAGATACCGCCTAAAGTTACAGAAAGTTGAAGCTAAAATGGGGGCAAATTCGGTGAGCAACAACCATATTCGGCATATTGCCGATCTATTCAGCGAAGGACAACCAGGTTGCCAAAAGTATGAAAGAAGATACAAGCAAGTGCTGATAGTCAAGATGAAAGGATAATGGGTGAATCGTGGAGTCATTCGGCGATACCAACCTAAATCGCCTAAAGTTACAATAACCAGACCAAGAAAGAGGAAAAATGAATGCGATAAGAAGACCAATCGGCGAATCGTCGACCTGTCAGCAATACACGACTTACTACGCCTAGTAGCCCTTAGCAGTGACATTCTAGACTTGTTTAAATTAGTTTTGGCTAGAGAAAGAAATTCATTCAGAAAGAGAAAAGAATTATTTACAGAGAAAACACTACCAAAGGGTTGGGGGAGCGATTTTAGCAAGATTTTGAGAGACATTTTGTAAGAGAGAAGATTATCAATTGTATTTCATCTATAATTGTCATTTTGTACCCAACTATGGGGTGATAATTAATTTTGATCCTTTTTATTTTTGAGATGAGTGACTAAAACCTTTTACTTGGGGTTTTGATCATGAAGCCAATTGCTAAATTTACTTAATCGGTGTTTCTTAATTGCAAAGCATGGTGCTAATTTGAAGTGGGTCTAAGTTGTTGCTATTTTTTGAGATTTAATTACGTTACTTCGTGTGTCAATTTAAGTGTTGTGCACTTGCTCGTGAAAGAGGTGTAAGACCAAGGTGGCAATCTTAGCATCCTTAGTAGTGGGTTACCTTAGTTTCAGCTCGACAGAGTGAAACAAGGAACGCATCCTTTGTATCCAGCTCGAGAGAGTGGATTTGATAAGGGTAAAGAGCTGGGCTTCATTCAATCACTGTTGAAGTTCGAGAGAATTAAACATAGAAAAGGTAATTGTTTGAGAGAAAGTGACTTTATATATGGTTCGACCTACCCACAACAAATTAGTCCATTATGAGAAGTAATGTTTTCCCATTTTGTTGAGATTCAATAATTGGCTCATCAGTTCTACGAGTTTTACTCTAATAGTTGATTGCTTGTGTTGAGCTATAAGTTTGAATTAGTAGTTAAAACCCAGAATTTGAGATTTCAATACTAATTGTGCAAGAAATGCTTGATTAAAGAGATTCTCATTTTACTTTTATTAAAGTAATTCGAAGGAAGAACTACTCCCTGTGGGTCGACCCCAACATACGTAGTTGGGTTATTATATGGAAGAACGATTGTTGGCATTTACTATTGGATGAAATGCCACTTGATGCATTAATCAATTACTTCAAAAGATTCTGACCAATCAGGACTAATAATGACCGGGGTGGACACTAATTTCTCCTTCAAGCAACGGAAATCCACCATACAAGCATCATCAAATTGGAATTTCACCTCTTTTTCTAAGAATTTGCATAGAGGATGTGCAATCTTTGAGAAGTCTTTGATGAACCTCCGATAGAAACTGGCATGCCCTAAGAAACAACGAACACCCTTCACTGAAATTGGTGAAGGTAGTTTCTCAATCACTTCAATCTTCGCCTTATCGACCTATAATCCCTTTTGTGACACCTTGGTCTCGAGAACTATGCCCTCCTTCACCATGAAGTGGCATTTTTCCCAATTCAGAACCAAGTTTGTCTCCACACATCTTTGGAACACTTTCCCCAAGTGTGCCAAATATTCTTCAAATGTGTCCCCAACGACTGAGAAGTCGTCCATGAATACTTCCATAGCATCCTCTACCATGTCCGCGAAAATGGATAACAGGAAAAACTAAAATGTTGTTGGGGTATTAAACAGCCCAAATGGCATTCTTTTAAATGCAAATGTTCTATAAGGACAGGTGAAAGTGGTTTTCTCTTGTTCGCAAGGAGCAATAGAAATTTGGTTGTAACCAGAGTATCCATCTAAAAAGCAGTACCAACCTCTCTCTGATAGTCTATCAAGCATTTGATCCATGAACGGCATGAGGAGATGATTTTTTTCAATCCACTAATTTATCTTTCGGTAATCCATGCATACTCTCCATCCGGTCACCGGTATTGTAGGCATAAGCTCCCCCTTTTCATTTGGGACTACCGTGATACCTCCTTTTTTCAGTACACATTGCACCGGACTTACCCATTTGCTACCCGCAATAGGATAGATCACACCTGCATCCAACCACTTTATTATCTCATTTTTTACCACTTCCTTCATTGGTGGGTTCAATCTTCGATGATGTTCAACACTAGGCTTACAATCATTATCAAGCTGAATTTTTTGCGTACAAATATCGAGAGGAATGCCCATTATGTCAGTTATGGTCCAACCTATAACTTTAATATGCCTTGGTAACACCTCAAGACGCAATTTCACCTGCCATTCAAGTAAATCATCCACAATGATTACCGGTAGGGTGTTATTTGCCCGAAAGAAAGCATATCGGAGATGAGGGGAAGTGTTTTTAATTCCAGACTTGGTGGGTCTTCTGTTGGTGGCTTTGCGGGAGGATTCTCTCTATTTTTCAAATCAATCTCCAATGTCAATGGAATCTTTGAATACCCTCGAAAGCTTGAAAGAACATCTACTACTTCTTCATAACCTTTAATTTCAAATTCATCATAGTTAGCAAGCACGGCTTCAAGAGGTTTGCTCATGCACATCAAATAGCTTACGCTAGCCACTGCCTCATCAATCATCAACGGTGGACACCACATGTATGTCACTTGGGTGTTTCATTGACTTACAAACATTGAAGGTTACTTCATCTTCGTTCACCCGAAACTTCAAATCTCCGCTTTTAACATCTACCAAAACTCTTCTTTTTGCTACAAATGGTCTTCCAAAAACAATGGGAATTTCAGCATCTATTTCATAACCAAGAATGACAAAATTGGCTGGGAAAATGAACCTATCAACCTTCACCAAGATGTCGTAAAGTATCCCTACAAGATGTTTGATAGAACGGTCAGCCATTAGGAGTCTCATTGTGGTTTCTTTTGGTTTACCCAACCCAAGTTGCTTGTATATCACATATGGCAAGTTGATGCTTGCCCCCAAATCGCATAAAGCTTTAGAGAATTGGAGCATGCCAATGTTGCAAGGATGGTGAGTGCCCCGAGATCTTGTTTCTCTTTTATCAGCTCCTTAGTCATAATTTCACTGCAACAATGGGAAACTTCAATTCTCTCAAAATCCAAGCTCCTTTTCTTTGTGACTACCTCTTTCATGAACTTGTCATATCCCTGCATTTCCAAAAATGCCTCCACAAGGGGGAGGTTGATTGATAGTGTCTTGAACACCGACGAGAACTTCTTGAGATTCTCAACTTCATTCTTCTTCTTTAAGCGTTGGGGAAATGGTGGAGGTATTTCGGGTAAAGGTTGCATGACTTTTGGAATTTGAACGTGGGGTTAAACTTCCTTTTGTGGTTCTTTGGAAAGGTTTTGATGGATAAGTAACTCTTGTTTCTCCATGCCTTAACCTTCTTCATGCTTTTGAGCATCTTCATTTCCCATCACATTACCGATTGCCACATTTTTTCTACGAGTAACCACAGCCAGCCCTCTATCATCATCTTCCATCTTTATCTTTCGTTTTAATTGAATTGACAATAAACTCAGTTGTCCTTTAAGTATCTTGATGGCATCGGCATGAGAGCTCACTTTACTGTTCAATGATGAAAAGTCATCTTTCATCCCTTTCAACAAATCATCCGAACCTTCAACTTTATCAAGTATGCGTGACAACAAGTCATTCACCCGAGGACTGCTTGCACTCACTTTTGATTTTAGTCTCTCACTTGAGTGAGTATGGTTCTCCTCGTGATCATCTTCCCTTCTCCAATAATCATTTTTCTCAACCCAATCTTGATAGTATCTCATTTGTTCGTCTCCCTTATGATAGTTCAAACCTTGATTTCCGCCTCACTGTAGATAGCGTGGGTGGAAACCCTCATCATATCTCTTGGAGTTCCAACCTTGATTCTCCCCCGGCCTTGAGTAATCGGAAGAAGAAGCCTCATCAACTCAAAACACTCCACAAGTCTCCTTCATATGGTCTTGTAGAATATCCATTTGGATTAACAACTTTTTGATGTTTTCATCGGTCTCTCTCTCTTTATCAAGTTGCTCTTGCATTAATCTAAAACAAAATTGAGAGACTTGATCCTCTTTGGTGTACCACGCTTGGTCTACTCTAGTCATGTCATCAAGAAGAAACGAAGCTACCTCAAATGATTGTAACATTATTCCTTCTCGTACCAATTGATCAACCACTCCCTTATAAACCGAATCAAGACTTCGGTAAAAATATTGAAGTAACAAATCGTCTCTATCCCATAAGTTGGGCATTTAAGTAGGAGCTTCTTAAATCTCACCCACATTTCATGGATGGTCTTCCCTTCCCGTCGCTTGAAACTTTGAATTTTGTCTCTAAGTTTCAGCATCCTTGATGGAGGAAAGAACCTTGTGTTAAATGCTATAACCAGCTCCTCCGATGATGTGATGGAATTGTTTGGTAACTCGGTTAACCACTTTTTAGCTTCTCCCATTAAGGACAGTGGAAATAACGGCCGCTGAATTGACTCTTGTGACACATTTATCAATGAAAGAGGGCTACAAACCTCTGTAAAGTTTCTCACATGCTCATGCGGGTCTTCATTGTAATGACCCGGGAGCACCCCCTAGCCGTCACATGCGTATTCGACCTCTCGGAGGTCTTATACAAGACTTAGCATTCATTCATCGCATTCGGTAAGAAAAAACTCGTAAACAATAAAAATACTTTTTAATACAAATCCATAATACTCATAATGTCTTTCAAATGTAAAAAAGTAGAATTTCTAAGTCTCATGTAACATGTTAGACACGAATAGAACATTTTAGGGACACAGCCCTTTCCATCAATAGAAAAAAATAAGTCTTATACAATGTGTAAGTGGAAATACTAGAAAGATAACAACTATGTCCTCGAATATATGAGGACATACCAAGCTTCTTGAGAAGAGTCAATATCCCAAGCTTCCTCAAAAGATCTCCTCACTTCCCACCACCTACACTTATAACAATAGATAAATATGGAGTTAGTACAATAAGTACTAAGTATGATGACCATGCAAGAAAACATGCACAATGGACATTTACAAGGAATGTATGCTTTTAAGACCTTCTTTAACAAACCTTTACAACCACAAGCATAAACCCACATTGCAAGTCACCATTCACAATTAAGACCATATTCACATCATTTAAAACTCAATTAATTCAAGTGCACAATACTTAAACAAGATAGTAAAGTAATTCCTTCATTACCACTTAAGCCTCTATCTCAAGTCACCCTAAGCCACACTTAAGTGAATAATGAAGTGACCACCCATACAACCTCTTCATATACACCTAAGTGTTCCTAAGAGTTACCATAGACAAGGGTTTTATCATTACATTATAACACACTAAGTCAACATTCTTTATAAAACCATTTAAGAGACACACAAGCATATATGGGACAATCACATAATAGCCCTAAGGCTTAGGGAACTCACTTTAGCATCGTTTAAGCCTACTCGTGCCATGTGTAGATAGCATCCCATACTACTACCTACACGTTGTAGAACCTATCCAATACTAGAGTTCACATCCCACATGATGGAAATAGGCCTTAACTGACATAGACCACACTAGCAAGGTATGGAATCCGGAGTCTATCCTACTCCGTGGAGGTTGTTCTACTTGCCAAGGGTAGAACTAAAAGCAACCCATGTTGGCACATGGTTTAAGAGATGTCCAAGGATGTTCATTGTGCCTAATCTCATGCTCAACTAGGCCACCATCCTAACCACATCCACTCAGTGCTTAGCCTTGGTTTCCATAGAGTATTCAATCACATATGTACTAGAGAGGGTTCCTTTTCTAGTTCAACCAACTCATAGAACCTCTTCCCAAGAAAGGCCCCATTTCTTAGTCATAGCCAATCTAGGTTCATAAGGATAGCTCATTTGACTTTCTTAGATAAGGATTTTCATGCCGTTCCGGCTCCATCCATCTCTAAGTCTATCATTTCACTCAAGAAGGGAACATCGCCCTAAGGCCCATCCTTCAAGGTTATATATTTTCTTAGGAAATCTAGACTCATAAAAAGGCACTATGCTTAAGCCTACCAATTCAAGTCTTGGCCTAGAATTCCTCTTTTAGCATTTATAGGAAGAGCTCCATTACTAAGTCATAGTCCAACCAAACATTCATATATATAATCAATCTTCCATGACACAAGACAAGATACTCAAGTCTAGCATATGATCTACAACACCATCTTATGAAAACTCATCATAGTCCATCATCACCACATATCACAATTTCAAGAGATACATGCTTCCACATTAGCATAATAATACTTTATACCTTATGACATTAATACCGTTAGAATATCTTCACATTATAGATTCACACAAACTTTACATATAGCTTCACATAGGACTTTACATATAGCCTCATATATGTATAAAAATACAACAATATAATAACACTCATATATTTCCCTTCATGGCCTCAATTCCCAATAATACCACACAAGAATAAGATATAACACTTCCACCAAAGGTGGGTTCAACCTACCAACAACAATCAATTCCATAAAGAGAGTTCAAGCTTTCTTACCATAATCTAAAGCCGTAGCCAAAATCATCAATACTTCACCCATAAGGCTTACCACCCTTAATTCATTCATTTTCAACAATTAATCATAAATAAACATTTAAACACCACAAGAGATATCAATACAATTCACTTTACACATAATTTCATCAACTTTGAATTTATAGAAAAAGACCCACTTCATAGCAAATTTAGGGTTTTAGTGAAAACATGGATTCTTGAAGAAAGTTCATATAAAATCATCAATTCTACTTTAATTCACCAATATAATGCTTTTGAAAACAATTTATCAATGAACCCATGCTTAGAATAGAAATAAGGCTTTTTGTTCTTTGAAGACTTTTGAAACCCTTTTGAATAGACTCCTTGAAAGAAAGGATAATCAAGGATAAAGGGTCACCATACCTTAGACTTGATATATCCCACGAAAATTTGATGAAGAAAGCTTGAAATCTAAAACCCTAGGTTTCCACTTCTCCTTCTTCCTTGAGTATAGAGAGAAATATTGAGAGAGAAGAACGTTGGGATTTTATTTGGGAAAAGAGAGTAAATGACTTGTTAAAAGACTTAAAACCTTATATATTTATCATATAAACCATTGAAAATCAACACAACATAATAAAAAATTAAAACGAAATTACTTAAAAACCCTTCTCTTGAGGCAGCCCGTCAGGGACCACGCCCAACTAAACGGGTCGTGAGGGGAACCATGGCTCGTGGTGGTGCCCGTAGTCCTTGAGGCAGTGAGCCTCCCTCACTTGCCAAGCCCTCCAAGGCCAAGTCAAGTTCACGAAAGCTCCCACGATCCGTGGTCAACACCACGAGTCGTGGTGATGCTCGTGAACTTGGAGGTAGTGGCTTAGCTAAATGGGCTTGCAAGCTTTGCCACCAAGTGACCTTCACGGCCACTTTTACGAGCCGTGGTCATGACCACTCGCCGTGAAGTGGTCTGTGGTCATGGGGCAGTAGCTTGGCCAAGGTTGAGCAAGCCTTGTCCCCTTGGTTTGACACATGCCTCTTCCTTAAACCATCATTTAAAAACACCTTTTTAACATAGAGTCTAGCACGTGCCTTGACGTTGACTCACAATGTACATAGTAAGTAAACACCTCCACCATTCAAGTGGATCAACATCTAATTCTCCATTCAAGAACTAAATCATAACTTGCCCCTTCAAGGCCATGCTCTTAAGTCATCAATTCATCATCAATATACCATACTTAAGTATAAACAAGAATACCATCCAATAACCCAAAGTAATTTAGACATATTCCAATCATAAGCTTCCATAAACAACAAACCCACTTCATGATGACACAATTTAGG